TAAGTCTATTTTACTTCCATTATTTTGACATTGCCAACTCCTAGTGCAATATTTTTAAAGACACTTAATATATAGATATATACTCCATATTAATTCTCGTAAACTTCATGGACAACCAAAATGGTATGAATATTTAGATGAATGCTATAATGTGTACATATTGTGTCAATAAAATCAGACTGAAAGATTGTGTATTATGTATTTTTGTGTTTTTTTTAACCTGAAAAAAAGTCAATCATGAATGCAATCGTTTTATCTTGACTCATGAAAGCATATGGAGAGATATCCTAGTCACCCTTGTGTCCGCATCCAGATGTTAAATTAAAAATTTTGTGCAGTAAAATAATTTTTTACAATAACTTTTTTATTTGTTACTTTAAGCTACTGTCCTGCACATTGTAGTTTTGGCATTTTGATATTTTTTTTAATAAAATGTCATCAAAAGATAAAGTTTCAGCACAGGCTTAAGTACATTTTTATAGAACTAAATGATTTAAGTACATGTCTTGTCCAATGAAAACCATCTAAGTAAAATTTAACATGCCATGATTTTATTAAACTGTTGCAGCATGGTAAAATAAATATTTTGTAAATATTGTCTTAAATTATAAACACACCCCATTAACTGGTTGCAAGTAGATCTATTGGTTATGGGTATAGCAGTTTTGTGCCTGGTAAGTTCTTTTTCATCTTTTAATCGATTGCTGCACAAATTATATTGATAGAAAATTGTCTGAAAAAAGTGACAAAAAAGAACATATATTGATAATCAGGTTTAAAACTGACATATTTAGCTTGGATATAGGAAGTATATGGAGAGCTGTCCTACTCGCCCCGGCGTCCGCGTCCAGATTTCAGATTAAAGGGACTCCACTGAGGTTTAAAAGCCTAAAAACATAACATTGAATTTCTTACATAAATGAGCTGGGCCACTTTAAGACAAAAATATATGCAAAGATAGTTAAGAAATATACTTTGAAATAATTGAAAATCGTATTTATATACTTTTCTTAGTCCGATTTGAGTGAAAAGCGTTTAAACGCTTTTCATTTTGGGTCATTTATTTACAATGTGAATAATTATTCTGGAAAAACGAAGTGCGCGAATGATCTGAAATTTTGCACAAAGATTAGAGGTCTAAACCTACATCAAATGGTACATTTATATGGGTAAAAATTTTCAGTCCCATCATATCAAAAGTCCCTGTAAAGTTTTGATGCTTTAAAATATTTTCACTATAACTTTTTCATTTCTTAAGGAATCAACTTCAAATATATGTTCCTTATCATCAACCACATCTTATGTGACAAGGTTCATAACTCTAGCACCAATACTTTCAGATATATCTCCCCTTGAACTTAGAATTTTCCTTAAAGATATTCATTTTTTACTGGCACTTCTTTATTTCTTAAGGGATCAACTAAATACTTCAAATATATGATCATTATCATAAACCACATGTTATGTGACAAGGTTCATGACTCTAGTACCAATATTGCAAGAATTATCTCCCTGTCAACTTAAATTTTTTACTTGAAAAAATATGGTTTCCACTGATTATCTTGAAAACTAGTTATCACATAGTCTTCATATTTCACATAGTGATTGGATCGACATAACTAGTAGATGACCCCCATTGATTTTGGGGTCACTAGGTCAAAGGTCAAGGTCACATGGGCCTTAAATGTCGAAATTGTTTCCGCTCATTATCTTGGTAACTATTTATTACAATCTTTTCATATTTTGCATACTGATTGGTGACAGTCATAACTAGTAGATGACTCCTATTGATCTTTGGGTCACTAGGTCAAAGGTCAAGGTCACAGGGGGCTTAAATGTTAGAATGGTTTTGGCTCATTATATTGGTTACTATTTATCACAAAGTCTTCATATTTCACATATGAATTGGTCATAACTAGTAGATGACCCCTTTTGATTTTGAGGTCACTAGGTCAAGGTCACAGGTGCCTTGAAAAGTAGTATAGTTTCAGCTCATTATCTTGAAAGCTAGTTATCACAATGTTTTCCATTATATATAGTGATTGGTCATAACTAGTAGATAACCCCTATATATTGATTTTGGGGTCATTAGTTCAAAGGTCAAGTTAACAGGGGCCTTTAATGTCAGAATAGTTTCAGCTAAATATTATCTTAAAAACTATCACAAAGTCTTCATATTTCACATAGTAATTGGTCATAACTAGTAGATGACCCCTATTGATTTTGGGGTCACTAGGTCTAAAGTCATTGGGGCCTTGAATGTTAGTATGGTTTCGGCTCATTATCTTGAAAACTAATTTATCACAAAGTCTTCATATTTCACATAGTATATGGTCTTAACTAGTAGATGACCCCTAGTGATTTTGGTGTCACCGGGATCTTTAATGTCAGAATGGTTTCTGCTTATTATCTTGAAAAATAATTATCACAAAGTCTTCATATTTCACATATTGATTGGTCATATCTATTAGATGACCCTATTGATTTTGGGGTTACTAGGTTAAAGGTCAAGGTCACAGGCGTCTTTAATTTCAAAATAGTTTCCACTTATTATCTTGAAAACAATTTATCACAAAGTCTTCATATTTCACATATTGAATAGCCATATGAAGTAGATGACCCCTATTGATTTTGAGACCACTAGTTCAAAGGTTAAAGTCACAGGGGCTTTAAATGTAAATATGGTTTCCATGGGCGTAACTAGGCGTACTCCTGTACGCCCGTGCGTACAAATCAATCCTGTATTCAAAAAAATCACATGCGCTAAAAGTTCTAAAAAAGTGATAAAAACATAGGGGGTACTGTGGTCGGGGCACATACAGGGCCACTGACTCTTTCGACTTAATCATTATATAAATATTTCATAACATATACAGTATAAATTAATATCTTTTAAAATGATCTATATTGCAGATTCAACGGAGGAAAGTTATGAAAAGCTTAAGGTGCCTTGTTCAGAACCTATTCTTGGCCGAGATATTCCCCTAGCATTGGCTTGGTGGCCCGTTTTTGCGCAACATGCTTCTTATTCGGCGCGCAGGTCACCCGCAAACTTTTTACTATACCGTATCGGCCCTTTTGTGTCCTCTTCTGCTTTTGGTTGGGTGCCTTCTGGGTGCCCTGCTGGTGTGGCTGGATTTCTGTAGGGGGCTGAGTTCTGCCAACGTAGCCCTGAATATTTGATTTTTAATCAGAAAACAAGTAACAAATTGGTGTAATTTCTCAATGGTATATTAATCAATTGATTGAGAGAATTACTTTGCCGTGCCAAAAAGGGCAGAAAAAGACAAAGAATGTACAATTCATTCTCAATTTTATGCATTTATTTAAAAGAATAGTAATATTCTAAAATTAGTTGTTGAGATTAAATTTATCATTCTCTGTGGTCAGCAAAACATTGCGATGAGTCATCAAGCAAGTTACATCATTATTAAAGTCGTACATGCATATATCTGCTTATGAATTTAATTTATCACAAACGGTCTTACATAAGTCCTTTAATGTATTCACATGATCCACATAATCTATGTTATATGCAACAATTTTTAATTAATTTACTGACATTTCTGAAAGGAGATTTTGAAATATCTTTGCGTGTAATATAACGTGTAATATAGCGCGTTATTATATATACAAAATGTATTGTAATGTAATGAAATATATTTAACAGTCCAAAACACTCACTGAACTTAATCACAATTTTCACACCATTATCGTTCTTAAAATAATATATTGTTACAACAGTTGCTACTTATGAAGGTGCAGAATGACAGTCTTTCCTCAGAGAGCATTGGGGCATTGTGTGAATATACTCATCTTTGTCGAGAGTCTCAGCGTTAGCTGTGGCTTATGTGATGGACTAACGTGAATTTGACAATACCGTCCAGCGGACCCGGCTTTTCTAAAGAAGGCAAGGCTCTGTACCCAAACATGACATATAATCAATTCAATTAAAACAAATGCTTGCTTTAGTTTTCGACGTTTCTAGCGTTTTTTTATTTAAAATTTACTGAATACAGGAGATTTGTTGCTATAACATCAGTTTGAAAGTCGCAAAATGACAATTTTTTCCTGCAAAAAAAATCGATTATAAATATAAAAAAGTTCTATGGTATATGTAACGTACTTGTTAATTTTACCTATTTTAAAATTAACAAAAAGAGTTTGAAATCGTTACCAATATGTTGTCAATATAGCCTCTTGATAGTCACAAAATGCCAGGATATCGCTTCCTCTTTCAAAAAAAATTCTCGGGGGACCATGCCCCGAACCCACCTAGTTAAGGAGTACATACCAAAATAGCTTAGTTACGCCCCTGGTTTCTGCTTATTACCTTGAAAACTTTTTATCACAAAGTCTTCATATTTAACATATTTATTAGTCATAATGGGATCACTAGTTCAAAGGTCAAACTATTTATATTTCACATATATTGATTAAATTGGTTATAACTAGTAGGTCATTATTTTTCTTTTTTCCATAACTGAACACTTCCATGTACCCATTTATGGCAAGTTTCTACAACAAAATAACCAATATTGTGAGTCAAGGGCTAGAAAGGGGGCATATGCATGTGTCGTTCGACATTTTTTGTATTTACTGTTTCTTAAGGTATCTTCTTAATTCAGACTTCAAAGAAGATATGTTTCTTTTTTGTGGAAAATGAAGGAAATTGAATTAAAAGCATATACCAAATATCAAAACGTGTTTCAAATGAAAACTACTGCAGTTTACATGGTTTTGAAAGGTAGGAGGGTTGAAGAGTGGGTGAGGGCGGCCCGGGGGAAGTGAACAATCAACGTGTTACGCGCCGAACACTTATGGCTATGATAGTCTATATACCAAGTCATCTAGAATAAAATACAGTAACAATTAATAATAACAATGCATGGAACCTTACTACCATGTCTTGACAGCATTGTTGTGATATTTGATAATATTTTGTGAAGTTGACACCCATGAGCGTGGTTTTAATAAACTATTGACGGTGTTTTACATTCTTTGGGTTCATTTATTCAATATGGCGACTTTCTAATATTTTTGTTGGAAAGTAAACAATAATTTCTTATTCAAGAAATTTAAGTTATGTTTGGTAAAAAGAAGGGCGAAGCCCCTGCTCCACCTAGGAGAAAGGGAGCTGAGTTAATGTCACAGGTAATGTTTTATAATCAAACGCTGTTGGAGTCTGACTCATTTTCATATGCTTCGCCTTTTCACAGTGTGGGTGGGGTTAGGATAATTTATTAAATTTACTGTAATCCAGAATTGTAGGAGAAGCCATAACCATTTTAGATTTAGATCTTTTGCCATGTAAAGTGTGAAGATCAAAAGTGAACAAAAATTTGATTTAAAAGACAAAGTTCAAATTAGAATTTGTAGAATGGATCAAGCCTCTCGAGTAAAGATGTTTAAACTAGAGCTAAACTAAACACAGACAAACATTATTGAAGGATTTTTGATGGTATTGTGTCTTGAATAAGGTACACACAAAATTTACACTTGAGATGACCTCTGACAAATTACTAGTCGGCTCTTTAAAAGAATCTGTCAATCTTTGATGTTTACACACCTGTCCAATCATCAAAGAAGTCCACCCTTTTTTATGGTAATAGGACATTTCAGACCATAGACGTTTTGGACCAGACATTTTGGGACACTTCGGACCATATTTAGGGACATTTCGGACCAGATTTTTGGACATTTTGGACCATGTGTTGGACAGTTCGGATCATGCATTAGACACTTCGGACCACTGTTTTGGACATTTCAGACCATGTGTTGGACAGTTCGGATCATGCGTTAGACACTTCGGACCATTGTTTTGGACATTTCGGACCATGTGTTTGACATTTCAGATCATGCGTTAGACACTTCGGACCACTGTTTTGGACATATCGGATCAATATTAAAACGTTGTCAGCATATAGAAATACATAAATGAATTATGATAGAAATATTTTACATGTATAGTCAAAACAATTTTAATATAAGCTTGTCAGAAAATGTGAAAATCTTGTCGGACAAGTCATTACTGCATGCATTTTGTATGGAATTATTCATACAATGATATTTAATTATGTTCTTACAAAGAAATAACTTTTATTTCTCGTTAATTTAAAAAAGGGCCAAAAACAGAGTTTGTTATTACACTCCATTCGGTGAATTCCCCAGAGCTATGTATAGAAAGTACCGGAAAACGTCGTAAAGCTAGGTTTTCGAATTCGTGAATTATTGACATATTATTTATTGTATGTGCATTTTGATTGTGATATTTTTTTACATTTTTTACGCAAATGGAACTTCAAAACTACCGATTTTTATACATAATCAGATCTTAAGATTGTTATTAAAGCAATAGAAAAAATTGTTATGATTTTTTTTAACAAGAGTGAAGTTGTACATTGTACATGTACTTAAACTTTTTTAAAGCAATATTTATCACGGCAAATCTCTGTGACTTTCCACAAAGGATTGCAGGCAATTTTTGTAACCAGTCCGCAGTGATTTTTCACTGTGACTGACCATAGTATGTCCTCAGTGATTTTCGACTCGCAGTTAAAAGTGGTGTCCGCAGTGACAATGCGGAAAGTGCAAAAATTGCTTGAGCTGTACTGTACCTTTAACACTATCAGGAGGGTCATTTATATACAAAAAAAGGCAGGGACCTAATACCGAGCCTTGGGATACACCTGACAGGACTGGTAGATTTCCTGATTTTTGACCTTCAAGTACAACTTGCTGGTAGCAATACTTACGGAAAGAATGGACCCAATTTGTAACCTTGTGACTTATGCTCAATCTTTCCAATTTACACTGCTACAAAAATTCAAAACCAAGTAAGGCGTAAAAAGGGCATATTCTTTCCAGTGCAACAGAGCCAAGAATTGCGAATATTCTAGGCAATATTTTGCTGTTCACTTGCAATATTGACTCACTGATTGACTGAGGTTTTTTAATTCACACAAATTGAGCAGGTTTAAAACTTTTTCTTGTCCTGGTGGACTGAACTTGACATTGTATGTCCAGTATATCTTTAAAATGCCAAAAAAAATTTTTTGATGCAGTTTAGTCCAATATTATTATTTTTTCTTTGGAAAACAATATGAATTGTGTGAAAACTTGTTTACCATCAGTTTCTTGTTTAGTCAGTTAACTATAAAACTGACTTTAGACAACTTGTGAATATAGAATACATACTGCATATATCTATTGCAGTCTGACACAATTCTAAACTATGTTTAGATGTTAAATGGCACATTAAGCCTCAGAAATGAGGGCATTTTTTCTTTTGAAAGTGCAAAAATGTGTTCAAAGAAGACATAATAATGAATTTAAGTATAGGTTAAAGATCCTGTATGTTTTAATTAAGGTTGTTACTACACTTAAGTGAAATTATATATATGTATATAATTCTGCTTCTAAAACAATTTTCAAACATCGAAGAATATGTAAACTATGTACTGCAAATATTAGTTCACATTATATGTAATCATTAAAATATATGCATTCATTTCTTATTGAAAAATTTGACTTAGACTTTATAGAAAATAAATTTCTAATTACATTGTACCTTCCTTTATTTACATGAAATGTAAATTCGGTAATATCTTTACTTGTAAAGAAGATTTATCAATATTGTAATAGTTCCATAAAGTATCTGTGATTTAGTTGTAAATTGTTTCTTCTTTGTATTGAAATTGTATGGAAATTTGTCATGATTTATATTTATAGATGGGCATGGGTGGATTAGGAGATTTTGAGCAGGAGTTATATGGGGATATAGATAACGATGAAGACTTGGAGGCGGAGCTTATGGCGTTACAAGGAAAACCACAGCCTAAAAAACGTAGACCTAAAGGTATGTGGAAATTATCTAATTCTTTCAAAAGTTTGGTTTGGCAATTACATTTTTGTTGAATGGTATTGGGAGGGGAAAGAAACATTTTATTTTAGGCCTTACTTTTGACTTGAGATGCTTAGATCAGTAGTACATGTACTTTTAATAGAGTAACTTTTATTTAATACTTTAGAATTTCAATGTAATGAGAAATGCTACTTTTACTTGATTAAAAATGGCCAGATGTTCAGTTCTTGCTAAACAATATTGAATGTAGATTTTTTTTTAAGACATGTAAATTAAAAGAATGTACATGTACATGAACATGCCAAATAAAATCTTGTTAACTTACATGTCTTGACAGTGACTTCATATATACATGTTTACACAAGCAGCAATTCTTATCATTTAACCGAAACTCGAAACTATTTTTTAAAATTTTACATAAAATTCGAATGTGCATGTTTATTTTTCTAGATTATGTTGTTGAGTTGTCTTCATATGTTGAGAGCAACATGCACACCAGTTAATACATCATAGCTCAGTGATATTATATGGTCATGTTATTGTTAATATATTTAGGTCCAGTAAATCCTATGGACTTTGATAGGATGATTGCAGACAGTATGAAAGATCTAGAAGATGAAGATGTGTCTGATACAGAAGATCCTGAATTACTGGTACACTCATAATGACAGTTCATTTTTGCCTATTTTGATATTTGAACTTAAACATTTTAAGGGAGCTTATCCTTACATTAGCATCACCTGCAGAATTCTAGGTCTGTTTTATATTGTCCTTGTATTGCAAACAAAAATTAAGGGAATTGTTTTTTCATTTTTGTCCTGTCTGTTTGTCTTTCTGCAGAGAAACTTAAACCTTGACCATAACATGTTCTTTTTATGAGCATTGGACCCTAACACAGCATACCTTAGGTTGCAAAAACTGTAATTTCTGGATGATCTCCCCTTAATATTTTTACAGAATGAATTACAAGACCTTGAAGGTGGTGGGTCAGATGAAGAAACAGATGAGCCAGCCAGTGCACCATCCTCCTCGGGTGGTGGTAGTGGGCTGGTAGCTGTGTTAGAGGACAGGCTTCAGAATTACAAGGATGCTTTAGATGCAGCTACATCTTCTGGTGATACTTCCAAACAAAGACGTGCTGATAGAGGATTAAAGGTACAATCAAACCCGTGTTTTGTATAGACTCTTCAAATATTTTTACAATGACAGGTTGCATACCAATGCGGATTACATTTTCTGTGGCAATATTGAGAAAAGTCTGACCTGTAATATGACATTACATAACTTATAAAATCTGTTGTTTTTTTTTTCTCTGTGGCTTGTAATAGGATATCTGTTGAAAAGTCAGACAAACTGATTATGCCTACAGAGTCATATATAGTTTTATTGTAATACATTTTGAATAATCAGATTTCAATTACAGACTATCCAAGACTTGCTGAAGAAAGCAAGGCAGGGTAAACCAGTTGATGAAGGTGATATTCCTCCACAAGTTGCCATCTCAGCACAAAAACGTGCCAGCCCCAACCACCAGCTCCGAACCCTGTACCCTACGTTCCAGCCGACGATACAAGAAGATGCTCCTAAACCTGCACCAGCACCAAGGAAGGCAGCCCCAGCTCCCCCTGTCCAAACCCAGCAGCCAGTACCTCAGGGCCATCTTCTCAAGGTAAGAAATGAAATAACTAATGTAACAGGAACTAAATATCATTTTGGTAACTAAGGTAGATGTAATGAGGTAAATCTAAAATTGTTATGCCACCGCAGCATCTGCGATGAGGTTGCATATAGCAATTCACCTGTGTACATTCATATGTATATAGTAAAAACTTAAAAAATCATCTTATCTGAATTGACAAATGCTAGAGCCTAGAGGTTAGATATTTTGCATGAAACTTTGTGTAGCGGACCTCTACATAAATTGTTCAAATTATAACCATGGGGTCAAAATTGGCCCTGCCCAGGGGTCATTGATTTTCACTATGTACATATAGTAAAAACTTAAAAATCTTCTTGTCTGAAGATGCAAGGCTTAGAGCTTTAATATTTGGTATATAATATCATCTAAAGGTCCTCTAGCAAAGTTGTTCCAGTTTTGCCCCTAGTGCATACATGCCATAATTTTTGGACAGCTTTCCGGGACACTTTTCATCGCGGCAATAATGGATGTGTAGGCAGTTGTGGAAAAGGGGGGGGGGGGTCAATCGTATAACGTTTTTAAATTAGGACGACTTTCTCCTGAATTTTAATGATAAACAGTTAACTTACTAGTTTTATAAGTTGTCTTTTAGGTCGACATATTTATCATTTAAAAAGTATTTCTTTAATTAATTTATTATTCCCTAAAAGCAAGTAAGTTGTAAGTTATAAACCCGGTGAATGGGCGCAGCCATGTTGTTCACCCGTTATATCTTAAAGTCATGATAATTACTACATGTCACGTAATGCAATTCTTCCAGTCATAAAAACAAACACAGCAAGGTGATTTATTTGACACCTTTAATTTTTTTATTTGATAGATATATTTACATTGTTTATAATAATTAGACTTTCCGCAAGTTAGCGATTGATCTAAAAATTAATGATTATCGGGGATTAACGTTAATTGTTAAGGGCCGTAAACAATTAATTAACCCGACCATTAAACGCTGCCGAATTCAACAGAGAATGTTAATTGCCGATGCATGAAGAATCTATTGCGAGGGGAATCGACAGTCGATAATTGGGGGGCTGTATATTGTAAACTTGTAAGTGTCAACGTTCCTGTGTATTATGTGTACCAGGTCAGATTATGTTTTACGATCTAGAGGTGAAATGTGCGAGATTTGATTTAAGAAAATTTATGAAAATTTTGCAAAATATCATGATTTTTTTTCCGGGATCAAATCGATGCCCGGGACATCTCCGGGACAGACATCCGATTTCCGGGACAATCCCGGGCATCCGGGACGTTATGGCATGTATGCCCTAGTGTCAAAATTAGCTCTGCCTCTAGGTTGATAGGTTTTCCTTATATGTATATAGTAAAAACTTGAAAAATAATTTTCTCTGAATTTACAAAGGCTAGGCTACATATCTTGCATGGAACATTACAAAGTGGACCTATGTAACAGTACAAAATTTATTTTTAATCACATGGTACACTTGAATTAACAGTAAGAATAACTCCAAGTGGCCCATTGGAAACTAATATTACAATAATAGTGGGAATGTAGGTAGGCTGCACAAACTAATATACTGGCCTGACTTAAAGCACATTATGATAATATATTATGATATATTGTAGAAGAATCATCAGAGCACAGAATGCTGGTAGATAGACGTGACCAGTACAAGAAAGCCGCTCTGGCAGCCAAGCATAGTGGTGACATGACTACAGCTAGAAACTTTGTAAAAATATCAAAAGTATGGCTGCTTTATTTGAATACAATAAACCTCTTTTAGAAACACCCTGAAAACTTTTGGGAAAAAGCTAGTTTGTTCTATACATTTTAGATAATATACACAAACAAATTGATGAAATGGATTTGATTGCTATAATAAAGAATGTTTGGCTTGTACAGGTGTGTTGAGAATGGTAATGAAGGAAAATAGTAGTCCCTTTGCCTTTTTGTATAGATTATATAGATATTAATAATAATTATGTAAAGATGGCCTGAACTTTTTGAGAGATATTCTTTATCTTACTGAGGATATGTTTTGTGGCACTATAGTCGGTCGGGTTTTCAGTGTACATAAAGACTGTTCTTAGGCGACCCCTGTATATAGCGACCGTTCTGTCTTTAGTACCATAGTTAGGTGCGCCGAACAGTTGTTACTATATTTAAAGAATTTGGTCGTTTTTTAGCGACACTCCCTGTCTAGTCCGGTACAACGACCATGTTTGTCCACCCGTTACGGTATTCTCTGAAAGGGCCGTGCCAGCGACTTTAGCAAGGGGGAGCAAGGCTTTGAAAACTAGGTGACGACTTTGGCGAAGAAGTCGCCTTCGGATCAGCGACTTTGCTTCAAGTTTCAAAGAGATTTTTGAAAGTCGCCCGATTTTTTATAATTTCCGTCATACTTAAGATTACGCCGCTAGGTCGTTAATAATTTGTTTACCTGTCATTAACAACCAATTACCGGTTAATCCGCTCAATTAAGAACGCGTGTCAACATCAACACAGTTCAATACACGCCGCAAGGCAAGAGTTCACTATGTTTATCTTTCTCATTAAACGTATTCATGCGATTGACGAATCAGAACGCGCGTTGTATCTACGGCAGTTTGCATTGACCATCGGCGACACGCTAATACACTGTGGCTGTTTTGTTGACAATTACAAACAAAAATGGCGACAGATTCAATCAATTTTCCCCGAAAAAAATGAAAAAAGACATGCATAACAAAATTTGCTGCGGTTTTTTGGGAGTAAAGTAAACAATCCAAACGTTTTTTAAAGGGTTTGGGGTTATTTTTTAAAACCCTTTGATTTTATTTTTTTCGGGCATTTATTGTAGAAATTATGTGGAGATTTGTATCGAATTTTTTATTAATACATTAAACCCTAAGTAAACAGGCTGATTAAAAATTTGAAAAAAACTTTTTTTTACAACAGATTTATAAAATAAAATTTAAAAATTTTTATGAATATGTAATTTTTAAATCAATTTTAGGTTGGTTTAAATCTTACCCAATTATACATGCAATTTTAATCCCTTTTGTTTTTTTTAAATGATATTTGATAATTTAATATCAATAAAAATAAATTAAACCCCTTTTGTATGGTATTCCTGCTTTTCAAAAAATTTTGGTTATATGTTCATATAAAACGAATTATGTGAGATGTCCACGTGATCCCTGTCTATAATGACCTTTTTTCTTTTCTCCCATCGAAGGTCACTGTAAACAGTCTTTACTGTACATGTATACTTGTTTTCTTCTCATTAAATAATTAAAGAAACAAAATGAAATTGTTCATGTGATAAAGATTATTTTTATACCCCCAAAAACGAAGTTTGGGGGGGTATATAGGAGTCACCCGGTGGTCGGTTGGTCGGTCGGTCGGTCCAGCCGTCCGTTGCATTTTCCTTGTCCGGACCATAACTTGAAGACTAATGGTTGGAATTCAATATAACTACACTACACATGGTCAAGCAAACATTTGAGAGGAAGTGCAGTTTGGCACAAGACCATAACTCTATCTTGGACTAATTACAGAGTTATTGCCCTTTGTTACTTTTTCCCTTGTCCGGGGCCCATAACTTGAACACTACTGGTTGGAATTCAAAAAACTTCATACAATTTGTCAAACCACAATGAGGGAAGTGCAGTGCACAAGAACCATAACCTCTATCTAAAGTAATTTACAGAAGTTATTTGCCCTTTGTTACTTTTCCATTGCTTTACCTGGTTTTGGTCCGGACCAGAACTTGAAAGACTAATGGTTGGAATTCAATATAACTACATACAGCTTGAAGACTAATTGTTGGAATTCATTATAACTTCATAGCAATGGTCAAGCACATTGAGAGGAAGTGCAGTGCACAAGAACCATAACTCCATCTTGACTAATACAGATGAGTTACTGCCCTTTGTTTACTTTTTATTCTTTTTTTTGTCCGGAAGCATAACTTGAAGACTAATGGTTGGAAAAATTCAATATAACTTCAAACAATGGTCAAGCACATTGAGAGAAAGTGGCAGTGCACAAGAACCATAATCCATTTGACAAATTACAGATTTACTGCCCTTTGTTACTTTTCCTTGTCCAGAGCATAACTTGAAAAACTTACTGTTTTGGAATTCAATACAACTTCATACAGTTGTCAAGGACAATTAAAAGGGAAGTGCAGTGCGGTCATAAGAGCCAATAACTCCATTTTGACAAAATTACAGAGTTACTGCCGCTTTGATACTTTTCCTTGTCTGGAGCATAACTTAAACTACTGGTTGAAATTCCAAAACAACTTCATAAATGGCAACACAAAAAGAGATAGGAAGTGCAGTGCACAAGAACTAAAAACTCCATCTTCTATTTAAAGCATGTTATTGCCCTTTGTTTCCTTTTTTTCTTTGTATTTCGGACTTATTACAGAGAATTTTCAATAAAACTTCTTCAATGGTCACCACATTGAAAAGGAAATGGCAATAACAATGAACCCCAACTATCTTTAATTGCCCAACAACCATAACCTATATTTTCAATTTTTTTTACAAGGTATTTCTGTTACTAGTAACATCCTCATTTCCGAAGCAGTCTTGTGGGGGGTTTTAATCACATTTAGTGATAGTTTAGTTATTGTCATTTGATTTTTATTAGAAGCTTTTCTTGGGGGCAGGGGATAGAAGGAAAATGGGGCCATCTGTCACCCATGCTTGGTCAGTTTTGTGGTTTTTGTAAGGTCTGCAGTAGCAGCAAAAAGTCAAATAAGTGCAGTGGGAAAAAAAAATGAATATGCCCCTAAAAAACCCCTTTTTTTTGGGGTCAAACATCCAAAAAGTTAAAAATCCTGCTTTTCCTGGGGGGTTTTTTGGTGATATTTAAATATTGACTGGTACTATATTAAGAAGAAAATATGTTTCATTTTATATTTCAGCAATTTTCAAGTAATACATGCTTTAGAGGCTGGTCAAACCCGTTGATTTTTTCACAGATGCCTCCACCCCGGGGGCAGCTGGTAAATGTTTCTTTTAAATTTATAAATTAGATATATTTTTAAAAGAAATTGTTACGTCTTTTAAGAAAGGGCTCTATGGTGATAAATCCCATAAAAAACCTGGTGGCAAACTGTTTTTGACTTAACATGTACTTTCCATTTTATTTGAAGCATTTTTTTATTTACCTATTTGTATGGTATATGTAAAGTAAATTCTGGAAAACCCTACGGCTGTAGGACAACCTTGGCAATGCAGACAATTTTTGCTGTCCTGATTTAACTTTGATAAAATTGTAGCAATTTTTTTTTAATATGTTTGTTATAGTGCTTATATAAAAGTAGTTGGGTTTTTAGCTCCACCTGTCACATTAAGTGACAGGTGAGCTTTTGTGATCGCTTTTTTGTCCGGCGTGCCGGTCCGGCGTCCGTAAACTTTGCTTAAATGACATCTCCTCAAAACCACTGAGCCAATTTTTCATCCAAACTTCCCAGGTATGTTCTTTGGTGGTCACCAAAATTTT